TGTTTTCTTAGTATTGAGTTGAGAGGGTTCTTCATATATTCCAGATGTAAACTATGTGTTCACACATTTTCTTCCAGTATGTGGTCTGTCTTTCCATTTTCTTAACAGGGTCTCCTCCAAAAGTCAGTGGCTGTACTGTCTTCTACCTGCCTCACAGCCGCTGCATACAACACATTCGAGAAATACAACAGTGATTGCTATCTAATTAATTAACCAAAACTCAAAAACAGTGAAATTGAATTAGGCATGGTTTATCATAGGGCAGTAGGCTGAGCAATGACCAGGATTTTTATCTTGGAAATAAAAAAGTGATTGATTGTCCGCATAGCTACCTTTCAAGATTTTTCTGATTTTGAAAGATCACCTCAGGTGGTGATAAGAAGAACATTTCCCCCTACCCAGACATTTAATTTTCAAAATAGACCACCAGCCATGCCCCTTTCACATGCACAGCCACGTTTACTCCAGGGCCTGCGAGAAGGCTGTAATTTTAGCTTGTTACACTGAAAATATGAAAATAAAGCTGATCTCTGTAGAATCATTTTAAATGAAAACTGCTTCCTAGAGGCAAGCTAAGGAAGCAAACTGATTGAAAGAGAGCACAGGGCTCTGGGCAGGAAGGGAACTGGAGTGCGGACCCCGCATGGGAGGTAGAAACAGGGACTTCTGCAGAAATAGGTGTGAGTGTGTCAGAAAGCACATTCGGCCCAGCTCAGATGTCTGGGAGAGGCTTCCTCAGTTCCTTTGGCTGGGGGCCAAAATCTCGTTGAAGCACCTCTGGCCACTGACTATGCTCTTCCTTAAATCCCACCTGGCTGAATACCAGCCAGTTCTCCACGCCAAGCCCGGTCCACACCTGGCCAGCTGAACTTGAGTGGGCAGGGGAATCACCTGGGTGGCTCGGTTTGTGAAAAAGGCAGATTTGGAGCTACAGCCTCAGGCACTCGCATGCCCTCTGTGGATTCGTTTCCTGTGGCTACCATAACAAATTACCACAAACCGGGTGGCTTGAAACACAGAAATTTACTCTCCCACAGATGGGGAGGCCAGGAGTCCAAACTCAGTGTGACAGCAGGATTGGTTCCTTCTGGAGGCTCTGAAGCTGAATGTGTCCCAGGCCTCTTCCAGCTCCTGGTAGCTGCGGGCCACCCTCGGCATTCCTTGGCTTGGGGGTGCGTAACTTCCACGTCTGCCTCTGTCTTCATAGGACCTTTCTCTGGGTGTGTCTCAATCTTCTCATAGCCTTTCCCTTTGTATCTCTATGTCTCAACTCTATCTTCTCTTACAAGGACACCACTCAGATTTAGGGGCCACCCTAAAGCTAGGACGATATCACCCTGAGATTCTAAACTTGATTATATCTTCAAAGACCCTATTCCCAAATAAGTTCACATTCATGCGGGGAGGGAGAGGGGCATTAGGTCAGTGTATCCACTGGAGGGTGGGGAGGGAGATTTCAATGCACTACAGTAGATTTGTGGTGAGACTCAAACTCTTGCATTTTCCCCCAAAATGTAGAGTGGCTCTTTGGGCTCTTTCCTCCTAAAATTACTCTGATGCAGGTGATCTGTAAATCATCTTCTGAGAAACATTTAATCCAGTCACTGAGGATTAAACAATGAATAAGACATGGTCCTCTCCCTTGGAGAACCTAGCGTCTAGGGGAGGGTACAGACAGAGGGACAGATGATTAAAACACAAAGTGTGGCCTAGTGATCCCAAGCGCTGGAGTCAGGCAGACCAGGGTTCCCAACTCTGCCCCTCTAGCTGTGGGGCTCCCAGGAAGTTCCTTAGCCTGTCTGAGCCACAGTCTCCTTATCTGTAAAATAAGAAATAATTTCTCCCTTTTGCCACAATGAGAATGGGCCATGTAAAATGCTTAACATCGAAGATGGACACAAGGAATAGCTATTAGCTATCGTGACGGCAGGAAGCATGTTGCATTCACTGTCACATCCCCCAGCCCCTCGCTGCGTGCCTTCCACATCCTAAGCCTGTAATGAATGTCTGTGGGAGGCAAGAAGGCATCACTGGAGAAACGCAGCTGGGATAGGCAAGACAAGTCCTGGATCTCAACTGATTCTGCAAGCATACCTGCTGTGTATGGGGCTCAGTAGGCCACAAGAAGAAAGCCAAATAAAGCACACAGCCTAGCAGGGAGGCGGACGGATCACAACACAGTGCACCTCCTTCCTTTGGTCTTCCATCCTTCACAGTCCATTCTTGTGTATTCTCTTAGTATCAGTATAGTTTGGGAAGGCCCCTCCCAAACTGTACCATATGTTCCAGGAGTCCTTTGATGGCAAGAAAGGTTCTCTCTCCACCACTGAATCCCAAGGACCTGGCAATGAACCAGACTCCTAATCGGCATCCGGTGAGTGTTTGTGGGCAGGGTGAATGCTCTGCTGCTATTTCAGAGTCCAACACTGGACTTCTCTGAAGGACCACCTCCAGCCTCCTTGACTCCTGGGTATGATTCTTGATGGGCCAAGAGAAAAGATGCCCAGAGGATCCATCCCTTGACACAAAGCCTGAAAAGTGAGGGGACATGGGGACAGGCTGCAACACAATGTATCATAATAGTATACAGTTAGGAGTTTTCAATTACTAAACCAACAGTATACAAATTAAACTAAGGAAGAAGCTATGACATCTCATTCCTCTTTAGAAATGCAATGCTTTGCACACATTAGACATTCACTTCTGTTATCAGGCTGACCTGGAGGCCCAGAAAATATTTAGAAGAGAAAGTCAGTACGCTGCATGTGTGCACAGGAGTAAAGGAAAAGAAGCCCCAGTGGGCCTTGGGGATGGAGGACAGGTCTCAGGAGGGAGAGAAGGGGGAATTTCTGGTGCGTGGTCAGCCGGGCTGGGTGACGTGCGTAACTGCCATCACAAATGGTGGTGGTAAGTCAGGCCAAGCAACCTGCCTGTGAGAATGAGACATCAGCAACCCCTCCGCCTGGAGAAGTCAAGCAGCTCCTCCCAAGCCCAAAACTCTCAGGGTGGCCTGAAGAGGCAATAGCATAGGAGTCCCCCAAATCGGACCCTGGGGTGTTTATGACAAAATAGGGGGGCATGGTGTTCTCTGCTCCACAGATCAAACGACTCTGCACCTGTGTTTCGCTTAAAAGGCCGACAGTAAACACGTGCTGATTTAATTGACTAGTAAATGAAGGAAGGTTACGGAGGACCCTGAACTATCCCCCCAAACCTCCGCCGCGCGTAACGCCTCCTGGCCCGGGCGGTGCCCCAGGGCCCGGATTTCCCCCTGGCACCACCTTTCCGCTTCAGCACCGGGCATCCAATCGCTTGGCTCCAAAACAGTGGTGACTAGGCGGGCAGGTGGGGCTTGGCTCCTTCTCCCGGATCCCCGGCCGCTCTCTCCAATCCTGGGCCAAGCCCTGCCGGAGGGAGGGCCCCTCCCCAAAGGCTGTCACCAGATGGCGTGGAGGAGAGCGGCGCCGGGACGGACCTGACGGTG